CTGCGACGAGAATAACGCCATGGTACGGCGTTCATTTGGGAGCCCTTTCTGATCCTCAAGGCATAGGGATTACTGGCCAAGTCTACCTCGTCAACAGTACATGCGTGCGAGTGGTCAACTTCACGTTACAAATGCAAGTTGAAGGTAGGCGGAAGATAAACTGAGGAGTATTTGACTAACTAACTCGTTTACTTTCAGACCTTTATTTCTGGATCGATTCGGAAGCGAAACTCTCGGCTTCAGGGTCAAAGGTCGCAACCCTTGAGTTTGGGTGCGTAATACGATGCTGTGGCAAATCAGTTGCATTGCTAAACGTTTATGATTTTAGAGAAAAACCGTTGCCAGCATGCAAAGAACAACAAGTCGTTCTGTTGCTGCCCCCGGGTATGGCGATCACGGACTTTAGAACTCTGGGATTGTGGTCACCTTCCAAGTCGGTAACTAACCAGTTTTGCTTTCGACTGGCATTCTGTAATTGCTATAGAAAATGAAATGACAAGTAACGCAATAATGCAACAGCACTGGTGTCAACATTATTTTTATGTGTTAGCTTCTCAGGTCGTGATCTGTTTGCAGCTACCTCAGGATTTCACACATGACAACCCCCGTTTTTGACTCGTAAATGAGCTCCCGCAGGCTTTCGACGGATCAAGCGTCATTCGCAGCAGTCTCTCTGGTTCGGTATTTGTTCAATAGAAAATTATTCATCTAGAGCATTTCGAAAAATCGAAATCGGAGTGACACCCTATGCTAATTTATATAATGGATAGCCAACTGTCAGGTAAGTCAAAGTGAGGGGCAGCCACACCGGACGGCATGGCTACAGCAGAATACCATGTTAACGTCCTGCTACCCAGTTTTCGGCGGGTTGTGTTGGATCAACTAATGGAGCTAATCACGTGCTCAAGGGAATTCGCAGTTTAGACGAGGGTTGTACCTTCAGCGGGAACGTGGAGTTCAAAGCCGGCCGTTTGATCCCCCAGCCGCCACGCCACGTCGCCTTACGAGCCAACGTAAATTACCTGAAGAATACCACCCAGCTCAGTCAACTTTAAGGCACTCATATCATCGTTTCTCAGTGAAAGCTTTGTCCCCCCCCGCCCAAAATTAGTTTTCTTAGCTTTCTTGCACTACAGCCACTTTAATCCTGGTTGCCTGGAACGGGATGTTAAAGCGGTCCAAGGCTAAGCATTTTCCCAGTGCATACAATGCTCGATATATTCATATAAGACACCAACTTCTGAGACGAAAAGTACATTAGGTAGGAAACGCATCTATCACCACAGGAACTCAAACACTGATGAACTACATGAGTGCAATGAAAGGAATTGCAATTAAACCTAATTTTAGAGGAGTCAACGTTTCGTCACTTTCTCATAGGATAAAAATTATAGCAAGAACTTGAAAATCATAACCTATGGTATTTTAGCGGTTATGGCAACTTTTGTCCTGAGGTAGCTTGATATGGAGACAAACTCGTCGCTGAAACAGTTGAGGGTTAAAATTCTGATTTTTCAAATTCGATCATTTCTTTCTGAGTTGGAAAAATGAGTACCTTCATGTGTGGAAAGCACATCGCCTTTCGTT